GTGAAAGCTGGAGACCAATCAAATGTAACTGTCTTTCTTGCCTCAGGCTAGAAAATTAGTAGAGGAAATGTCTAGTTAGTTATTTCAGGCCACATGTCAAAAATATGTCAACTTGGAAAGATGGAAGAGAAGCCAAGTGTTACTCTGTCTCTCGTTCACGCTCTCATTTCTTCAAAAGGTCTTTCTGACCTAGACCATTTGAGGATCTATGGTAAGAAAGTGAACATACCATTCCTGTACTCAAATAGCTTACAATCTAGTAGGGAAAAACATACATGCAGGTGAATAAGTATAATATTAGAGGTTGAAATAAATTTTATAGAAGGAACGAGTGGTTAATCCTGAGTGGGAGACTGTAAGATGGCTCCCTGGTGGAGATGGCCTTTAGGAGTGTGGATGATGCTATCAGGCGAGGAAAGAATGAGTGGCTTTCTAGGTTGAAGGAAAGCCATGAACAAAGGGCAAAGGAGTGTAAATGGTAAGCAATTTTTCAGAGCTGAGGCATATTCTGGGAAGTGGTATTAAAGGCAAGATGGGGTTAGGTCATGGAGGGTGCCAAGTCAGCTCAAACCCCAACTCATTCTGAAAACAATGAAGAACCACATAAGGTTGAGTATGAAATGGGGTGGGGTATGAGTTTCAATTATCTACCTGCCCTAAGTGTTAGGAAAACAACTTCAAACTAACTTTGTTAGTGTGAAGAATGTATTCAAAAATTTAGGGATTCAAAACAGGGGGCTTGGTTAACATGATATTGTAATAGCTCAAATGAAAGATGAAGATTTAAATTAGGATAGGGAATAAAATGGTAAATAAAAGTGATGTACATTATTTATGACAGTAGAATTGATAGTACTTGATGACTAATAAGATAAAGTATGTAAGAGTCAAAAGTGTGGTGAAAAACCTCCTGAGGCAAAAGGATATGTCAGGTGATTGAGAGTTTATCCCCAAATCTGCCACCAGCTATCTGACATTTTTTACTCCTTCCTCAACTATCAAATTACAGTTAAGGGATTGTTCTGCTGTGTAACTTTTTTTTTTTTAATTGGGGAACAGTGTGTTTTTTCCAGGACCCATCAGATCCAAGTCAAGTAGTTGTTTCAATCTAGTTGTTGAGGGCGCGACTCAGTGGCCCATGTGGGGATCAAACCAGCAACCTTGGTGTTATAAGCACTGCGCTCTAACCAACTGAGCTAACCAGACACCCCTGCAGTGTAACTTTTAATTTTAGAATTTTGTGAGTCAATTAAACCTTCCCACTACTTCCTATAGATTTAAACTCAGCAGAAGATACTAGGAAGGAGATACTTTTAGATTCTAAATGACTATCTGTTTATACAAAGTTAGTTAAATTTTACTGTATAATTTTTGTAGATTTGTAGAATTGAGGAAAAACTTCAGAGGTTTTTTTCATTACTTTTAGCTAGGAATGAAATTTGTGTGTTGAGTATTTAGAGAAAAAATATTAGAAATGTTTTCATTGTCTCCCCTTGACAAGCTAGTCCAGTTAATAACAACACTTGTTCTCAGAAAATTTGTTTAACTTGTTTAAAATTTATCTATTCCAATGTCTGCTGGTTCTGCTTTGATTAGAAAAGAGCAATGGTATCTGATATTAAACAGTTCCATTAATAAAGACATTTATTGAGAGCCTATTCATTTTAAGGCACTCTTATAGACAATATGGTAGCCAAAGAAACAATCCATGCTTTCAGAGTTTGCAATCTAATTTGAAAAAGACAACACATTAACAGCACACCATAGCATCTATGGCAAGGTTAGCTAGTTTGTTCATAAGAGTTTACTGGAGGCAGATACGTTTAAGTTGGTATGGCTACAGAAGAAGGTCAGCTGGATCTTCATCAGAAAGACTTGGATGAAGAGAAAGATATGGTCCATTAATAAGTAATTTCAACTTGAAAAGATGTCTCATTTCAGTTCCACATGTCTTTACCAGCTACAAATTTGCTAGAGCTAAGAAGCAGTAAGCTTATGGTTGGGAAGAGATATGTATTTATTCTCTAAAAGGGCAGAGTTATAAACTGAGGATCAGCAGTAAATTCTTAATGACCAAGTCCGGTGTATTTGCTCAACATTTTATCACAATTGTAATTATTTGCATGTTTTGGTTGAATTGACCACTCTCTCCTTTTTGGAATTTTCTTTTTTTACATTCTGGATGTTTAATTATTCTTCTCTCTTACAATCTTTTTTTTTTTTTCTTTCAATGAATTTGTCTTTTCTCCTTACCCAGCAGGAACCCTGGCCTCAGCTTTCTCCTTGTCTTAATAAACACACACTCTCAATTGTAAGTCTCATAGTCCCAAGATGTTAAATATTACCTGAATATATTTGCATGACTCTCAAATCTCTATAACCAGCCCTGACTTCCTGGGTTTCATTTCCTCATTTCCAATGGACATTCTCATATATATTTGTCTACCTTTTATATGAAAATACTTATGTCTAAAGACTAGCTCATAATCTGCTCCCCAAAATTGAATCTTTCTTCAGACTATCTGGAAATGGCAAATATTGCCCTATTCTATACATGCAGATGTGTGATCTTAAAGCCATTTTGACTCCATCACCCAGATAATCAATTGGTTGTTAAGAAATCATGTTGCTAATTTCACCACTGTCACCACTCTAAGACAAGCTTTTTATCATTTCACACCTGAATAACCACAATGACTTCCAGTTGGTCTCTCAAAGTCTGGTTTTTCCCCATAGAAATCATGGTAGTTTACCATGGCCCAAACTCTTTTGATACTTTACATTTTCCATCAACTGGCTTCAACTTAAACGTCCAGCTTCATTTCCCATGAATTGCCTCCTAGGACCCTCTGAGTCAAGCCAAATCCTTTTACTGACTCTCCTCTGAATAAATATCGCAGTTCCCTTCTTTGGCTTACATACTCCCTCTTCTGCTAGAAAGCCCTTTGTCACTCTTCTATGACTATTTAAAGTGTACTTAGTTCACCTCCTTCATGAAACCTTTCCTAAACACTAACCCCACAGGATCCCTCCCACTTCTATAGTTTGAAATAATTATGGTTCCTACCATATGTTGCATATTTATCACATATTTTCACTTATTGTTCATAAGTTTTTCTTCAGTGTTAGTCTCATCTTCCAAATTAAACAATAAATGTCTTAGACTTCCTGACCCATCTTTCATCACACAAACACACAACAGTGAATTAGAAGGCACTCGATGAATACTTTTTTATTTATTTACTGACCGAATACATACGAACCATAAGGAACAGTAAGCAGTATGAGAAAAAGGGATCTTAAAGCTAGGTAAAAAAAATATTCAAAATTGATTTTTACATCTCCTGAATAGGAACAATTTTGATTAACCTTACTTTAGACTTTAAGTCTGTAAAACAGCTAGGAAATTGTCACTTTGTGGGATAAATTTACTTTTGTGACACTTTAAGTGCCTATAAAGTTAATATAAATTAGCATTTATTTATGCCTGAAGTTTAAATTTAGTATTTATCTTTAAAGGAAACACGAAGCCGTTTTTGATCTCATGAATTGGGACGTTATAGAAAGTAACTAATTTATGGTATCTCTTTATTATTATGTTTTTATATGAAGTTATTTTGTCTTGTTTCTATTTTACATAGTGAGGATATTCTTGCAACATAGAATATTAAAACTAGAAATATTCTTAAGAAGTAACTAGTTCAATCTATTCTTTTTTCAGGTGTAGGAAGTGAGTTCCAAAGAGGGAAACTGACTTGTCCAATGTCACAACCTAGTTATTACCAAAGCTGTACCTAAAAATCAGGATGATTGTTTCCTAATTCTGTATCTTTTCCATAATCCCATATTGTGCAGTTTTATTTTTGTACCTTAAATTGACGTTATTCAAATGAAAGAAAAATTACAATAGTTTTTCATTATTTCTCTTATTTTACACCCAAGAAAGTGAATTAGTGCCTTGTAAGTTATTAATACGAGCATTCTAAATAGAAGCACAGCATGAGCAGTTTATTATGATGTGTATCCACATAAGGGAGATATGAACATCATCTTAATTATTTACATTTCTAAATGTTCATAAAACTGCAACTTTTTTTCATTGATGAGTTGAGTGGCAGTAATTATGTGACTTTTTTGGTTTTGTTTTGGAAGATAACCTTATATCAGGTACTATGCTAATATTGGTAATGTAGTAATAGGGATTGTTTGAAACACCAAAAATAATGAGGCTTATTCAGGAAAAGAGAGATAAGCATAGTGAGTCAATGTAAATTTGCACTGGTGACGTGAGAGTGTGAGAGGAGACACTGCTCGGTGTTTGGGAAAGACTATGGGACCTTCGCAAGTGTCCTGAACTCCATTCTATAGTAGCAGCAGAATAACACAAAACATCACTTACTACCTTCCTATTGTAACTTTTTAGCTTCATTGAAAAGAAGTGAAATTGTCAGTTCTTTGTAAAACTTGTCTACAAAACATTCTTTAGGGGGGCTAGAGGGCATGGAGAATTAAAGTGAAGAAAGTATATAAAGGAACTCAGATGATCAATTTTTGTGAGGAATGTTCATGGAAATTTGGTTTACCTTTCTGTAAAAAAAAATTCACAATTGAAATTACACCTTATCATTTGAATTCTCAATGACTAATAGAAAGTGGTGGCTAGAATAGGCATATTATATTCTGATTTTAAAATTATTTATGCCATCTTCTAAAATAAAAATGACTACCAGAAATTTGACAAACTCATACTTTGAAAAGACTTATTTATGCAGTTCGTTCTCAGCTTTCACAGGCAAATTAGGAGATTAAGAATAAAATATATGTTTACTGAATAAAATACCAAAATATAGAGTTCTGATTTGAAACAAAACAACAGACTTGTAACGTCTGACTTGTTAAGTCATGGGGATACAAATGGAAGGGATAGTGTTTCTTTCTCTGACTCACTAAATCCACATGACACAGGACAATATGTTTTTAGCGTGATAAACTTAACTTACCTGTACCATTGTTAACTGTGGCCTGGATCGTGGCTTCTGGCCCCATAGTGTCATAGTCTTCCTTCATTTCTTCTGTAGGGGAAAATTATCTTTAGCATTTGAAAATTGTAGAAAGGCTTACTATACTAAGCATGCCAACCAAAGGAACAAGGAAGATTTCTTTTAAAGGAAACAGAGAAAAGGCTTGTTGTAAACCTCTAAACAATAGCTTTGTTCAGGCAATTGAATGAATCCAATAGTGCTAGCTGCACAAGAACTTATTTACTTTAAGCATTACTGCAAGCTGTGAAAAACAGAGGTGTTTATTTGGGGCAAACGAAAGGCTTTTCTTCTGGTGGCAGTGCTAGTGACAAGCAGGGGGAAAGATAATATTTTTTCAATAAGAGTCAAAAGCAACTAAGTATTTGTACTTATGAAGAGGCACACTAGCTGCTATGCCTCCCGTAACCCTGGATGATTAGTAGCAAGTCAGAATTTCTTATTTTATTTTCATACTTTTTCCCCCTTTGGAGAAGCTATGATGGGAATAATCTATGCAAGCATATGTTTTTAGAAAGCTAATTCTACACATGAAAGCATGAAATGCCCAGTTTGTAAGGCAGACATCCCAGAAGTATTGAAAATATGTTTCACTGTTTTATGTCACCTTCTAAAACATTCCTTCTTTATTCCTTTCCCTGCCATTCCATAACTATCTTCCTTCCTTATTTATGCCCCAGTGGAGAATCATAGTCACTTTCAGATGAAAACCATATAGATATAACAACAGCTCAATGTTCTGATGAAGATGAAAATATGTAACATTAAAGATGAAGACTCATCAATGATAAAATGCCATTTTCTAAAATGGCAATATTTTAATAAAGGGGGAGTGTGAAAAATAGGAGAACTCTTGAATTTTCTGCTTACTAAATTGTAGAGTATGTGAGAGGGCAGAGAAGGGCAGCTGACAGTTAAAAATTCTCCAAGAAAGTGAAACATGAGCTTTTAAAAATTGTGTTTTTTATAATAACAATAGTAATAAGAAACAAACATGATCCAGGGTAAATTGCTCTCTGCGGTAAGCATTTTACTTAAAACAAGAGAAACTTTTTAAATAAGTCTCTGAATTCCCAAATTGATCCAATCATTCTTTGCTCATCACATTCTAGTCAGAATTATTTGATAGAACAAGTTCTAGCAAATGTTACAGCAAAATTAAAATGTATGCTTTTCAAGTAGTGTCCTGCAGCTTATCTGTTTATGGGTCACAGCCGGAAAACTTGGGCTTCTTAAGGGAAAATACATAGATGCTAATTTAATGCCACTGAACATCATAGTCAGAAAATTTAAAGGATATTTGTTTAAACTGTACAACCACTTTAAATTCACTCTTGGCTGTGGACTTCTCTCTTATTTAAGGAATACTTTCACAGGGAAATTTTGCATAAAATATTTAGAAGTTCAATACATAGCAATATTGTATCATCAATTGTAATAATTGATCGGTTGAAAGGCTCCCTCCTCAGATATTTTTATCAGTTGCTGCAAGGAATTGAATTAAGGTATTTCTGAGAAGTTCAGTACTAGATATAAATATAGCTTTTGTGTCTTTCTTCCTCACTCATCTCATGTGATTTCTGGTAGCTAAGAGTCAGAAGTATCATAAGTTTTCCATCTGAGAGATCAAGTCACTGAGGGGAAAACAGTTAACAGCATTTTTTTTTTTGCATAATAGTGGTAATGTTCAAGATTTCTGCTGCACTTCCTTCCTCATTGTCATTTTCTTATGAAAAAATAAAGAGAAGTTACAGTAGGTGGTGGCTTCCCAAATTATTAAATGCTGGGTGTACAAAGGTGTAGTCGGCACTTTGTGTGCATTGCATTCTGTAGTAACCCTTTAGTTATAACCCTCTTTTACCAAAGATTGTGCAACTGAGATGGTCTCACTTTTACCTAAAATGTACTTTGCTTCGATTTACTGAGCATCAACTTAAATTAAAAAAAAAAAAGGCAAGCTCAAGATCAATTTATGATGATGAACATTAAGACTTTTCAGGCATGCATTTGAAATACTATGTATATGCTTATTTAATTTAGTTGCACGTGAATCTATATTCAGAAGGACATAATATGTACTTTAGGAGTATCTCTTCTGAGTGAAGGGCAACGCTGGCTGTCTTTCTGCCTCACACCTAACCTTAAACATTTTCCAAGACACTTCTGACTCAGCATACTGTGTCTAAAACCACATAGTATATTTATTTTTAAAACACTTGTAAAAGTTTGTGTTTTCCAGTCACCCTTGGGATGAAGGTTTGTACAAATAAAGAGCACTTTCTTCCTTCAGATGAAGAATCCTTGAATAAGCAGAAAGAAGCCAAGATGCAGGTGATTTATTTAAGTCTGTGTCAATGATAATGATGTCATGGTTTCCAGCACACTGTGTCCACCCCATTGTGGGACGAAAGAATGTCAAGGACAATTCTAAACACAAAACTTTGATTGTGCTGGAACCGGAAAGGCACAGTAAGAACTCCACTGCGCTCTTCAGTTCAAAACCTGCATCCTGCAGACAAACTACAGAAAGCATGGGAGAAAGAGCAAAGGAGAGAGGCTTATCTCAGAGTAAAGCTATGTGCTGAGGTATGGTGGTAGACACTCAGGCACCAGGGATAAAACACTACTAAATAAAAAACAGCACCCGAATTAGAATTATTGTCTATATTGTGTGTTTTGAACAATAAAAGAAAAATATTTTATCAGAAGAAAAATGTGTTATCTAAGAGGCAGGATAAACAATGAGTAGTGTTTTAAGACCAATTTCTTTTCATTAGACATCAAGGCACCACATCAGAGCACTTTTGGAACAATAAAAAAAAAAAGAACAATAAATCACTACTAATCATTAGAACTAGACAGGTAATAGCCGGGTAACTTTCTTGGTCCAAATAGCCAAATGAGATTAGGGATTTACATTTTATTTAATTATTGTGACTCCAGAATGCTAGTTTATTTACCATAAAGGTAAGAGCAAAGAACAGCCTGTTCATTTGTGTCACAGGCACCATTAACCACAGGTGATAGCGGGGTTTGTAATGCATTCATATGGATTATTGTATATTAAAACGTTTGGAATTATGATCCATAACCAACGCAAAAAGCTGCCATGGTCAAAAACTACTATAGCTTGACATTGCAGTTTTGGCTGTTTTTCAATTATTGATCCTAATTTTTTTAAATTAAACTTTTTTTTTAGAAGTTTGGAGCAGTACATTTGTTATATCGTTATTAATTATTCCTGTAAGGGTGGAAATTCTAGTAATTGGTCCTTACCCTTGATTTCTAGATATTAAAATTTAAAGCATCAGAACATTCATTCTTATAGCCCTGCATATCTAGTTCATTAACAAATATGAATAGCTAACACCAGCTCATTTAAATAGTATGTCTTACATGAGTTCTCGCCACACTCTGTTTCTGTCACACTGCTCCCAAGAATCATTGGCTCTTATTATACATGTAAATGGCTATCATAAAAATAAAAATTTCATTTAAGATTGTTAATGACTTCTGCAGCAGTCAGACTTCCTTTAATGATCATCCTCTGCCCCTAATTAAACGTATTTATCTTTCAAGCATCTTTGGCTGAGTTCTCCCTCATAGTTGAAAATCTAAAACCTTAAGTCTTAATGGATATAACGATAAATGTTTATGTGTGGGATTGCTGAGATTCGAGAAACCTTCACCAAAAGCAAAATTGGAAACAGAAAGAGTACAAAACTTGGCACAGTGTGTAAGGAAAACGAAGAACAAATACACTACACTCAAACTGCCATCAGTCTTTTTTTCTTCTCTTTATCACATTTAATTTTCTTTAGTTAGGGGACGTGCTTTTATTATACCAAAACAATTACTCTGCCTATGTTTAATGTTTTGTAGTCTGCGACATCACAATAGCGTGCATATAGGTAGACTTTTTTTTATTTTCTATTAAAGTATAGTTGGCATGTGATAGGTAGATCTTGTGCCTGCTTATTTCCGTTCCCACTCACTTCACTTATTTATTAAAAAGCTACTGTTATTTATATTATAGGAGGAACAACAAGGTGGGGTAAATCATGATCGCTCTCACTGGGTCCTGGGAATAGAGATTAAGGAAGCATGAAGGTACATTAGAAGGGTCATTTAAAAAAATTTTACAGGCCACCTTACCAAATAAAGACAAGCAGAGGGAGTTTAGGGGAATCAGATTAATTCTCTTTTGTTAATCATCTCACACTTTAGTTAGGTTCCATCCTAAGTGAATTTTAGACCAAGACATTTTTCCATTTGCACAATGGCATCTGAAGTTCCACTCTGAACATCAATTACCTAATTTTTATTATAGCTGCTCTTGGACCATTTTTACATCCCCAGAGATTGCCACCAAATAGCGGGGATCATTATCAAGTACTTAGCTGTTAAATAATAAGAAAGCTACCTGACCAGGTAAAAGTGTGAAATCACATTTACACTTAAGAAGGGGGAATGATTAGATGGTTGAATTACAATAGGAAGTGTCAGACAGACACTGAAACTACATTAAACTGACAGCTATTTGGTTTATATTGCTACAGAGTTTCCACACAAAACTTTCAAAATTATGTTAGTTGTGAGTTTTTATGTTTGCTTCCATTTTCTATCCTGAAAGTACAGATCTTGATCATGCTATATCATTTGCACATTATAAATGTGGTGCAAATACTTCATGTTGTGTGTTTAAAATGTAGTTCCTATTCAACTTGCATAGAAATCGAAACATAATCCCTTCCTAAGATGTCAGGGCTGTAATGTGATAACACTACTATCACTTCATAATCTGTCACCAGCTTTGGTATCTTTATTCTGCAAGGGCTAGGGGAAGAAATATTTTAGTTATTTGGTTGTGGACGCTCCACTAGGTAGTAAAGATTAGTTTAAGATGGCACAAGACGGGGCCAAGTAGTTTTTTGACACTTACCTGGACCATCTACAGAGGCTTGCAGAATGTCGTTGCCGTGCCAGGTATGTTCCACTCCACCCTCCCTTATCTCATCTTCCTCTTCCTCTCTTGGCAACAGAGCTTGGCTCACGTGTGGGGAGGACTCATGGTTGGGCATGCCAGCTGGACTCCTCTCCTGGTCCAAAGCATTTGCAATCCCGTCCTCCTCAGCAATTTGAAGCTTGTCCTCCTCATCTGTCTCAGAACCTGTGTCCACTACATTGTCATAGTTCACCA